TTTTTTACTTGCAGGAAAGTTGTTTGATTGTGCTATACATAGACCAATAATAAAATCACGTGTCTTTGACATTCTATCAATAAAATATTAGTAACATTTAATAGTAATATATCAACATCAATATATATGTATGTCATGTGTAGTCTATTTAAAAAGTAGTTATATTATTTATTAATCTTAAAAATAAAAATAAAAATATAAGATCATACATTTTAAAATCTTTATAATTTAAAGGGCAAATTATAAATTACATTTACCCCTCAAATTATGAAAAACTCTCACCTGTTTTCGTAATTACGGTCATCCCTCAACTATGTATTATTTTACGAAAAAACTCCTCTAAACCTCCAGATGTTCGTACCATTTTTATCGAACTAAATACACGATTTGGTTCGATAAATAAACGAATTATATAAATTTTATATAAAAATATTTAAAAGGAGAGGGTGGATGTAATTATCAAAACAAGAGTAGTTTTTTCGTAATTTAACCATGCCGTAATTTGCTCTACTTTAATAAAGACTAGCTAAATAAAAAATAAAAATCACACGGTTGAGTTGTGATAACTGATAAGTAGCTAGCATGAAAATGAGTGGAGGTGCAAGTTCTCATAATATATGTATGTATGAATTATGATCATAGTATTACTTACAACAAATTTTCATGCTTTTCAAGACAATCTTAAATGCTTAGTCATGTCAATAAAAAAGTACTGAAACCCCGTGTCCCCTTACCTAAATTCATTTATTGCATTTTCTGCTGTCAATTTTCAATTTCTTCACTCTTTTCTTGTTTATTGGTAACTAAACTCTCTCTCTCTCTCTCTCTCTCTCTCTCTCTCTCTCTCTCTCATATGAACTGTCACGTTAATATAATGGATGAATTATTATGTAGTTTTATTCAACAGTACTCACTCTTTCCTGCTTATAAGAAAGAAAATCTTATAGTAGCAGCATTTAAGGCAAGCTTTGCAAAAGGTGTGTTCTGATTGGTTGGAGTTGTCTTGAATGTTTTTTGCAAGATTTGAAACTGTAAGAGGAAGTGGGTTTGCATGTGAATCTCCAGCCTTCAGCCATGTGTCCCTCTGCAAATATTTCAAGAAATGCCCAATTACCCACCTTTTCTTTATTTTTTTAGAGAGAGAAACAATAGAGAGAGAGAGAGAGTTCACAGAAAAAGGGGGCGAACACCATTAGTGCAATGCTCAGTGAGTAGATGAGCTTCCATTTATTGTCTCTTTGCTATATTACTATTTCTTGATGAAAACTCTCTGGTAAAGCAAATTTAATCTAGTCAAAGTTTAGGGTTTCTTTTTTTTTTCCTTTTTTTTCTAATTTTAATTTTTTAGTTGTTGATGAAGAGGGTTTCTAAATTTTAACCAAAGATTGAGTCTTTGCTAATTATGGGAACCAAATCAAGAACAAATCTTTAGATACACTCTAATTTCAAGCTCATATTTTCAACTTCAAGATTCAATTTTTTAAGGTTCTTGTTTTTTTTTTTTTGTTTTTTTTGGGAGTTCATCAATGGATGCTGCTGCATTTTTGTTCTTCTTGTTTTCATCATTCTTGTTAGTGTTGACCACACTCCCACAAGCAAAATCAGGAGATGCAGAGGCTCTGTTATCTCTAAGGGCTTCAATTGACCCTTTGACCAAGCTTCAATGGTCAACGGGAAGCCATGTTTGCACCTGGCAAGGTGTCAAGCACTGCCTCAATGGCAGAGTCACAAAGCTGGTGGTGGAGGGTTTCAACTTGACCGGCACGTTAGACGGTCAAAGCCTCAATCTTTTGGACCAACTCCGAGTTTTGAGCTTCAAACAGAACTCGCTCTCCGGCGAAATCCCGCCGCTCTCCGGCCTAGCGAACCTCAAATCACTCTTCCTCAACGACAACAACTTCTCCGGCGAGATTCCGGCCAGCCTCTCCTCCATGCACCGCCTCAAAGTCGTCGTTTTGTCCGGTAACGGAATTGCGGGACCCATCCCTCCTTCGTTCGTCGGTTTGAGCAGATTGTACATGCTTTATTTGCAAGACAATCGGTTAACCGGTGCTATCCCGCCTTTTAACCAAACTAGCTTGAGATTCTTGAATTTGTCGAACAATGCACTGTCCGGAAAAATCCCTTCGACTCCACAGTTGCTTAAGTTCAACGAATCCTCGTTCGTTTCTAACATCGATTTATGCGGCGAACAAATTCGAAAACAGTGTCCGGAAACGGAAACGGAAACAGAAACAGGACATCATAAGAAAAACAAGAAAAAACTGATATTGATTATTGTTTTAAGTGTCGTTGGATTTGTATTGTTATGTGTGATTATTATAGCCCTCTTGATGCTTTCGAGAAAGGCGGTTAAAAAAAAGGATAAGGCGGTGGTGGTGGAGGAGAGGACCCCCGCTAGCGGAGTTGCTAGCGGCGGCAGTAGGGGTGGTGGTGAAGAAGAGGGGGGCGGTAATAAACGAGGGGGGTTTTCTTGGGATGAAGGAGGCGAAGGGCTCGGGAAATTGGTGTTTGTGGGACCCGGTGACGAACGAATGAATTACAGCTTGGAGGATCTGTTGAAGGCATCGGCGGAAACTTTAGGGAGGGGAACTGTAGGGAGCACTTACAAGGCGGTGATGGAGTCGGGTTATATCGTAACTGTGAAAAGGTTGAAAGATGCTCGGTACCCTACGATGGAGGAGTTTAGGCGGCATATTGAGATTGTCGGTGGATTAAGGCATCCTAATTTGGTTCCGCTAAGGGCTTATTTTCAGGCGAAGGAGGAGCGCTTGCTCGTGTACGATTATTTCCCTAATGGGAGCCTTTTCTCGCTCGTGCATGGTACGTATGCCGTTTCTTTTGATTTTTTAATTTTTTTTTTTTGCATGATTCAATTATATAACATTGGCATGAAAAACTCTAGAAGACTGCAATTTTATTTTGTGAAAAAAATATTAGATAATAGAATCATCGAGGTTTATATATTTTGCTTAGATAGGATCGGTAGCTTCATATGTTAAGAGATTTATTTTTGAGTAAAATGTACTTTCAATCTAACTCATCAAACAAGAGACACAAACCTTGAAATCAGAACTAAAATGAATAGTTCCGATTTGATATTTGCAATAGAAATTTTCGTTGGCGTTCGTTTTCGTTTTGCGGATAGGAAGAGGTTTTAGCTTTTATGATTACTCGTAAAAAAAGGTAACTTGATTGAAATTTGTTGAACTGAAATTTACGGCTTTATTGCATTTAGCACCCCCTGCATTTACTCTGATTGCCAAAAAACTTCCCGTGTTATAATTATTAGCAATATCGCCCGTATGATTCAATTTTATTACCAAACTACCCCTAAAAAGATGTACTATTTAGGGGATTGTGTGCCGAAAAAAATGCATCGCATGGGTTCTTTTTGCTAATATTTATAACATGCGGGGTTTTTTAGCAATTCAATATAACATAGGGGTACTATCAATTAACGGATAGGTGGTGGGGTTTTTTTTGCAATTTAGCTAAAGTTCAGGGGTATTTTCGTAATTTACTCTGACGACGCAGTTTTTTTCATAACTGCATGTGCAGGATCAAGAACGACAGGCGGATCGAAGCCGCTCCACTGGACATCCTGTCTGAAAATAGCACAGGACTTAGCCACAGGGTTGCTCTACATCCATCAAAACCCGGGCCTAATGCACGGCAACCTCAAGTCCACAAACGTCCTCTTAGGGCCCGAATTCGAGTCCTGCCTAACCGACTACGGGCTAAGCCCGTTTAGAAACCCGGACCCGCAAGAAGAATCCAGCGGGGCCTCCTCCCTCTTCTACCGGGCACCCGAATGCCGGGACCCACGCAGGCCGCTAACCCAACAAGCCGACGTCTACAGCTTCGGAGTCCTCCTACTCGAGCTCCTAACCGGAAAAACCCCGTTCCAAGATTTGGTCCAGGAACACGGCCCGGATATACCTAAATGGGTGAGATCCGTCCGCGACGAGGAAACCGGGTCGAGCGACGAGCCCGTTTCGGAGGAGAAAGTCGGTGCGCTTTTGAATATCGCAATGGAGTGCGTGAATCTTTCGCCGGAGAATCGGCCGCCGGTTAGGGAGGTTTTGAGGATGATCGGAGAAGCTAGGGCGGAGGGGAATCACTTGTCTTCGAATACTAGCAGCGATCATTCTCCGGGGCGGTGGTCCGATACTGTGCAGAGTTTGCCTAGGGAGGAGCACTTGAATATCTGAGTAGGGATTATTTTTCATATATTATATATATATGTGTGTGTGTGTGTGTGTGTGTGTGTTATTTTTTTTGCTCACTATTAAATCAAATTTCAAGATTTGATGATGCTAGATCATTGGTCAATTAGATGTTCAGGTAGGAGGATGAAGTGAAGTACACTGGATATGTCGAAAACACGCATCCATGTGGGTGTGTGTGTGTGTGT